ATATTATATAATACTATATATATATATATATTTATAATATATATATTTATATATATATATATTATATATATATATATATATATATATATATTATATATATATATATATATATATTATATATATATATTATATATATATATACAGTGGTCCCTCGTTTTTCGTAATTAATCCGCTCCTGGAGGAGCTACTATAAACGAAATTTACGATTTGCGAATCAATTTTCCCCATAAGAAATAATGTAAATACAATTAATCAGTTTCTGACACTCAGAAGTATTAAAACAAAAAATTTTTTTACATGAAATATACATGTAGTACATAAATAATACAATGGGAAATGAATGAAACATTAACAGCATAACACTTACCTTTATTGGAGATTCTTCTTAGTGTATGGGAGACTGGAGGAGGAGAGAGATTGGATTGTTTACAGTTTGGAAGGGGAATCCCCTTCCAGCAAACACCTCAGGTACCAATTGCTTCTCTGGGGTTGCTTCTCTTCTGTTTCTTAATGCCACTAGGACCACCTTTAGAGTCACTCTAGTCCTGTCTCGCAAAGTAACTGTGGAGAGAGCTCTGTTTCTGGCGTCTCTTTAACACTTCCCTAAAATGGTACAAGACTTTGTCACTGTACATATTTCTCACCTTCTTTACCACAGGCTTGGCACTAGGAGCTTTCTTTGGAGCCATGGTAGCTTATTTAGTACTTGCAAGCACTAAAATGAGTGGAATATTATGAAATATTTCGTAGGAGCACTTGAGGGGACCTTCACTCACTGGTAAACAATGCCAGACTGGCTGGTTAGGGAGGCCTCCCCTGCTCACACCGTGCGTAAGCGTCCTGGACGAACTACTATTCGCGAGTCAACCTATGAAAAGCGAGTCCATGTTTATACGAAAATACCCCTATGATTGGCGAAATTTACGATTGCCGAGAACTACGAAAAGCGAGGGACCACTGTATATATATAAAATCACGAAACAAGTAAATTTGAATCATTAATAGAACTGCGGCTAGCCAGGATTCACTCCTAAATCACAATGCTCAGCCTTGTAAGAACAGGATAAAGTACACATCCCTCTGTCCACTTGACCATCAATTCTCAAACACCAATCACTCGGTGAAAGTGAACGTGTTTTTCTCTGGTGCGAGAACATACGTGATCGCCGATCCTCAGAGATTAATTTCAACCTCATCCTATTTGGGGTACCAGCCTTCATGAGCAGTCTGTATATTAATGAAATCACGAAGCAAGTGATTTTGAATCATTAACATTACCACCCCATCTATAAATATATTGAACAACCATTATGACATCACACATCCCTGTCTAAGGCCTACTATAACTAAGAAATAATATCCCTCCTACATTCTCTAACCTAAGCCTCACTATCCTTGTAAAAACTCTTCATTGCTTTCAGTAACCTACCTCCCATTCCATACATTTGTAACATCTGCCACGTTGCTCCTCTATCTAACCTATCATACGACTTTTACAAATCCATGTATGCAACAAAAATCTTTTACACCCTTATCTAAATATCGTTCACTTATATATTTTACTACAAACACTTGATCTACACAGCCCCTACCCTTCCTAGAGCCTCCTTTTTCATCTGTGATCCTGCTCTTCGTCTTACTCTTAATTCTTCCAATAATAGCTCTACCATACAATTTAGCAGGTATACTCAACAGGTTTATTCCCCTATAATTTTTACACTCTTTTGTCCCCTTTCCCTTTATACAAAAGAACAATGCACTCTCTTTGCAATCTCTTGGCACCTTACCCTCTTCCATACATTTATTAAATAAAAGCACCAACTACTCCAAAATTATATCCCCACGTAATGCATAGGGTCCTGATCAGCAGAATGCATGTACCTGTGAAGGGGTCTTCACAAAACACAACTTCAACAACAAGAACATCAACTGGGACCAGGTAAACCATGTCCTAAACGAAACATGTTGGGAAGATGTCTTAAATGACATGGATCCAAACCAGTGCCTTGAAAGGATCAACTTCCTGGCAGCCGAAGCATGTTCTAGGGGATATTCCCCTAAGAAAGAAGAAGAGCAGGAGTAAACTGGACCCTCTTTCATTCTACACACTGCCTTATGCACCTCCCCCACACTCACAACTGGCTCTTCCTCACTCCTACACGGTATTGTGCCTCCCTGCCCAATGCACGAAATCACAGCTTCCCTAACTTCATCAACATTTAACAGTTCCTCAATGTATTCCTTCCATCTTCCCGATACCTCTGACTCTCGTCTAATAACCTCCTCTTCTATTTTAAATTTTTTCTGTTCTTATTTCTTCACTAGTACTACTATTTTACTTTTCTACCCCTTGATCGATTACCTGGGA